CGGTTACATCTAGTTATTTCAACAGCAAAATGATGAGACATAACTACCAATCTAGTACTGCTCTTTAACAGGTAAAGTCGAGCTACCATAGAAGAAAGTAATAAAAATAAATAAATAAAAATATGGCACAAGGTGAAAAGGTGGGGGGAATAGGGGAAGATGGTCTTCATTATGTCTTAAATTTAGCTAGCCATAATTACTGAGCCAAATATATACCACAGTATTCCTTATACCAAAACAACATATTTTTACTTAACATTCTTACTACAGCCACCATAATGCCTCAAAATCTGTATGAAGTCTGTTATATACCGTACCTATGAACACTAATGGGTACGTCCCAATCCTCATAAATACGTTGGAAACTATTGTAAGTGGGGGTAATATGATGTCTAAGTAGTATACCACTAGCAGTGGTTTACCTACTTCACGCCGCTGGCGAGTATTGTATTTTGTTGATGTTATAAAGATTACCATTTCATTTCCGACCTCCGTTTTGCTTATTCCTCATTCAGTCCTAATTATTTCCCATATGTACAATTTATCTGTAGAAGAAAGTTTATCAGAACAATTACCATGAAAGTATTTATAGAAAAGGCACAGGGAAGCTACATTACGGCGGTGGGAAAGTGATTGAAGCCAAGATATTTACTTAGTTATATATTTATATATAAGTAGCCTTTTAAAACATTTGTATTTGTCACAAGAATTTCCATTCTATTCAGTTTAATTGAAACTTCCATCTGTTGTCCAAATTCTAAGTCTGACTGCTCTGCCCCATATGTGAAATAATCAAATAATAGGCTTGAATTAACAAATTCCATTGATTGTTTTAGACTGGAAAGTTTTCAAAGGCATTCATTCACATAATATGAAAGAAGACCTCATTCGGAAAACAATCCATGGAAAATCGAACTTGCAACAATAGCCTGTGTGACTATCACATCACGCCATATGATTTTATTCCCCTGACTTTCACACTAAGCCAGGATGTGACACAAGTTTATTTTGTGGGGAACCCAGACACGTAAATATGAGCCAAAGACAAAAAAATAAAAAAACGCCCAGTCTTCGCTACCGCCGCCGATATTACACCGAAACCACCGGTTTTAGTGCAATGGGTGTGGGGTGCCGACGAAGAGTTGGAATACCCTGGACCAAAAGCTTTCTTCCATCTAAAATGAGGGGAACAGATGCCTTCTTTTTATTATTCCGGCCTGAAGAAGTTTCTCTCTGCCATCCAAAACATTTGATAGTAAGCTAACCTCGTCAGGTCACTGTGTGCTGAATTCATGGCGTTCTGTACTACGGAATTATTCATGGTGCAGCTAAAGGCCTATTTCAAAATTTTCGTATTTCAGAAAAATTTTAAAGTTAAACGACATTCTTAATAAATGACCTTTCTACTAATTGGAAAGTATAAATATATTACGTTTGCTTCTATTTTGTTTTTTAATGGCGATGTTTTTGAAAAATACCATTTTGAAAGGAAAGAAATTAAATTTTATCATCGACATATTGGGTGATATGAATAACAATATCATAGAAAAAATTGTTAGATTAACTTTGTAATAAATAATGGCATTTGTAAATAAACTTCACAGTGGAAAAACAAAATCGAGGAAAAATTCTTCAGAATATGTCTCAGTTAAAAATTTAAAATAACATTATTACAGACAAATTTCTTGAGAGAGCACCCTGATTCCGGGTGGAAGCAGCTGTTAGGGTCCCAGCTATGGGCAAATAGTTAACTCGCAAAACTGAAATCAAAACACCATGAAAGCGTAAAAATAGGTTTTAATACTAGTAACACATTTTGGAAAAAAATACCAGCAATATATTTAAAGAAAAAATTATTACCAGCAATAAGAATCTTGTCAGCATTAAATAACCCATTGAGGTTGATATGCCGTAAAACAAACCAAAGCAAACCAAACTTGAGAAAGTCGTGTAGCATTTGTAAGAAGAAAGACGTAAAAAAAATGGCTTAACAGATCTTCATGCATTTCTGGGTTAAAGAAAACCCTCTCATCTAGATCTTTAAATTTGTTTCTTTAATTTTACGGTGTAAAAATACATTATGGCATAAGTTGTAGTAAAAATTCAACATGCTTTTTTACCTATTTTAAACAGAAATACAGATTGCACAAAATATTAAAATTTAACATTTATGAATATAAATTCCATAGAGAAGAATATTTAATTAACTTTAAGTGAAAAATGTTAGAAAAACCTCAAAGTAACAAAACCCAGATTCCTAAATTACATTTTTTAGAAAATTTGTTTTTGCAATAAATATAATATAGCAAGTCCGAAAGAAATAAAAGAAATAATTCTTTAATTAAATATAGCTAAATTTATTCTAAGTGTAAAAAATATAAAGTTTTTTGAGTTCCTTAAGCCGACGACAGCAGCGAACTACCACAAACCCAAAGCGAAATTAACGTTACCAGTGCTTTTGAACTTTTGAGATATGTCTTCTTGACATCACGTTTCCCACTGAAAAGTGGAGCGACTATATTGAATCAATTATTAGGTCTCCTGTAAGGAAAGTTGTTTCACTGTTCCGTACCAGAAAAAAAACTTATCTCTTCAGAGTCCATCTGACATATTCATTTATAACTCGATCATTCGTCCGGGCATTGCATACTGTTGCCATATCTGTGGTGGTGTTCCTGTTGTACATCTTAAAATTCTTGACAAATTCCAAAGAAGGGTCTGTTGGCATCTCGACTTCAGTAACATTCTTACCGACATCGTGTGGCTTCTCTCTGTTTTTCTACAAATATTTTCATGGCAGATGTTTTGATGAGCTAGTTGCTCCATTAGTATGCCTGTAGTATAGAACGCCATGCCTGAGTTCTATCCCCACAGATTCCCCGAAATTATGCCCCTGTAAGTATTAAGTATACTTAATACATACAAATATATACAATAATAGACATTAAAACAAGGTGCCTACCGTAGCATAATGTTAGAAAGCCGTTTGGTCGACCATTTCGTTCATGTAGGGATTTTTAAGAAGCAGCTGAAGACATCGGTTTGGATACTTTAAAGTCGTGTAGGTAGAGGAATACAACGATCTGGTAGGGTAGCAACAGAAGACGACAAAGGTGGTACAGAAATCGGAAAGAAATTCAAAATGGGAAAAGATGTTTTTTCAAAACTTTGTAAAGTTTTCGGATATAAGAAAATATAGCCAGAAAAAAAAGCGTACTGAACTGCTATGTAATCCAATCTTCTATATGGCAGTGAATGCCGGACAGTCTCTTTACGGGTGAAAAAATGATTTGAAGCCGCAGAGATGTGGCTCTATCAATGAATGCTGAGAATACCAAAGACAGAACTTGCGAGCAACGAAGAAGTCTGAAAGAAAATGAGAACTACAAACAAAATGATACTTAAAATCAGAAAAAAAGACTGAATTTTTTCGACACAAAATGAGGAAAGAGGGCTTGGAGAAATTTAACACTCAAATAACATAATGACGGCAACAAAAGCAAGGTGAAACAACGAGTAAACTACGTTTCTAATTTATAGAAATGGATGAAAGAACAAGGAAAAAGATAATTAAAACGTAAGAACTACTTAGAGCCAAGAAAAAGAGGAAGTTGTGAAGGGCCATGTTCATCTACGTCATGACAGAGAATAAATGAAGTCATTTCGAACATTTCTAATTTGCCAGGCTGATGTGTATTTGTATCAAACTGAACAACTTTAATTTAATCATAACAGTGAACCTTTTCTGCCTGCCGTCGGCATGGTTTTGGTAACCCCGAGGAGAGCAACACACTACGTCTTCTTGACATCACGTTTCCCACTGAAAAGTGGAGCGACTATATTGAATCAATTATTAGGTCTCCTGTAAGGAAAGTTGTTTCACTGTTTCGTACCAGAAAAAAACTTATCTCTTCAGAGTCCATCTGACATATTCATTTATAACTCGATCATTCGTCCGGGCATTGCATACTGTTGCCATATCTGTGGTGGTGTTCCTGTTGTACATCTTAAAATTCTTGACAAATTCCAAAGAAGGGTCTGTTGGCATCTCGACTTCAGTAACATTCTTACCGACATCGTGTGGCTTCTCTCTGTTTTTCTACAAATATTTTCATGGCAGATGTTTTGATGAGCTTTTTCCCTGGTACCCTGACTACATGAATTTAAGCGTGCTACTAGATAGGACTCACGGTTTTACTGTTCAAATAGTTAGATTAAACCGTCATTTCTATTCTAACAGTTTCCTTTCTTTTTTACCTATGGAACCCCCTTTCGATTTCTTGCTTCTGTGATAACTACAATTTTCAAAAAATTAAATGTAATGTCAATCGCCAGCTCATGTCTTCTTGAAGCCTGTTCCTTTCTTTCTCCTTTCCTCAATCTACCTCATTCTCTTTCAGTTTCACTTCCTGTCATCCGTTGTGTTCTAGTGGCATTCCCGCCTTGCCTGGGGTGAAAACAAGTGGGTAAGCATATGCCGTGTCAAAGAAAAGATCATCATGTCTACTGAAGAGGTTGGAAAAATGACTTAATGGCTTGAGTATGTAAACGCAAGAATAAGATTAAGACAATGATTGAAGTTTGTACCAAACTTTTTTTTAAAGTAAGCACTACTTGAAAAGACTGGTCCTGTCGTTAAGAATAATGAAATTTAGAGAATTTTTTTGTTTAGATTAGCATTCCTTACACCTTCCTCAAGCCACGACAGGATAAAAAATATCAATTTTTTATCGATTTAGAAAGTGAGGGCTCCTGTTCCTGATGTCGATACAGTGTAAAATCGATTCATGATTTTTTACTGAGTTATTGGATTCTCCTAAAATTATTTGCAAAATGACCTTCCCCTATCTATTACGGGCTTACAGCTACATCACGTTAAAACACCGGTTTCCGTACGATCACCGAAGTTAAGCAACGTCGAGCCTTGTCAGTACCTAGATGGGTGACCTCTTGGCAATACCAGATGCCATAAGCTTGGATGCGCGTTTGGCATAAATGGCTTACGGCCATACCACATTGAAACACCGGTTCCCGTACGATCACCGAAGTTAAGCACCGCCAAGCCTTGTCAGTACCTGGATGAGTAATTGTTTGGGCATACCTGATGCTGTAAGCTTGGATGTTTGGGTAGTGTAATGGATAATGGCTAGGAATTGTTAATCGGAGAACAGAGTTCCAATTCCAGTCGGGTTCGTTGTATTTACTTACGCGCAAATACTCTTAGGAAAAGTATGAATCCACCTCTTTTCCTCCTAGCTATGGGTTAATTAGTAGTACTCATAGCACTAAATCATTATTATCTCCAAAAATAGAATAAAATTGAGTACAAAAAATATTAAGATTTCAGCATTAAATAGCCCATAGAGGTGTTGATATGCCGCTAAACAAAAATAACCATTCAACAACCTATCTATTACGAGAGGACCAGGCAACTTAAGTAATGACGTGTTAGCAAATGCTTCTATTTGCGTTTTCGTTCATAATTTACTGAGATGGTATTTTTCTCTCCCAACATTCAAATGAGAAAATGCACAAAGAAACACGGGTGGGGTAGTTTATTTAGCTTTCTTCCTGGCTCTTGTAAAATATCAGTGAAAGAAGAAATAAACATGTATATGTCGTAAATAACGCAGTTGAAAAGGTGGTAGAAATTCGAACATGGCACAAGTAAAAACAACGGTTTAGGGATAGAGGTGGGTGCTGAAAATGCGATAGAACACGACAAAGAGAAATAAAGGAGAAGAGGGTATGAAAGCTGCAGAGAGTATGGTCACTAAACAAAAAGAGTGATAGAAAGAAGGTGGGAATGGACAAATAGAGAGACTGGAAAAGAACGAAAGGAAAAAATAAGAAAATAAATAGAAAACGGAAAAGAAAATATCAAGAAAATACCTGAATGTAGAAAGAAAGAAAGAAAGAAAGAAAGAAAGAAAGATTGGTAGCAAAGAAAGAAAGAAAGAAAGAAAGAAAGAAAGAAAGAAAGATTGGTAGCCAAGAAAGAAAGGAGAAACTGTAATTCAAGGGAACTGTGTTAAAGAACATAATCTGTATTTGATAGAGAGAGAGAGAGAAAAAGAGAGATGATAATTGAGAAAGAAAGAAGCAAAAATAAAAAAGAATATAAGAGAGATGGGAAAACGGAATCAAAACGAAGGAAAAAACAAACATAAAATAGAAATAAAAGAAGGGAAGAAAGAAAGAAAAACGAAAGAAAGAAAGAAAGAAAAAGAAAGGGAAAAAGGAAGATTAACATGAAATAGAAAGAAAAATGAAAGAAAATAGACAAACATAAAATGAATAGAAAGAAAAAGAAAGAAAATTAGACAAACATGAAAGAAAATTAGACAGACATAAAAGAAAGAAAGAACGAACGAAAGAAAGAATGAAAGAAAAGGAAAAAAATGGAAAGATGAAAGAAAGAAAATAGACAAACATAAATTGGAAAGAAAGAAAGAAAGAAAGAAAGAAAGAAAGAAAAAGAATGAAAGATAAAATTTGTTCGGAAGGAAAAAATCAGTAACAAAAATAGTAGTAGAAGACCCCAGTAAGGATCGAACCAACAACCTTAGCGAACTGTTAACAAACACGCCACAGCATGTGCCTCTAAGCTCTAAAATGATAATCAATTAAACCTTCGTATAATTACGTGTTGACCCCAAAACTCTGTTTAAAAAAAATGTAAACGCAATGGTTTTCTTGCGTTTTACGTTGCGTTTGATTGTCAATTTGTTTCACGGATTATTTTGCATGTGTTTATACGAAGGATGAATCCGGGCTTTGCCACTTGTCATCGTCATGTTTACACAGCCGACATTCAAGAGTGAACCACAGGCCTCTTGTTTCTTCTTTCAGAGTAAAAAGAAGAAGAAAGCTGATAATTTATTCCGACGGTGATCTCATTACCTACAAATAAATAAAGGAAAAATAACACTCGCAGTTAGATTTGCCATATGCATCTCTAACTATTCAGAACATGGCTTACATTGCAAAATATACAAACTTAAACCGGCCGCTTTCCCGCATTCAAACGAACACATTTAAAAAAAAACAACTTTTCATGTTGTGGGAAATGAATTATATCTTTGTTAGTACTGGCGGAAATTAAAATAGGATTCCTCCGGGGCGTGTCGAACTACACACAGGTCTTAATTAAATGATAAGCTTCTCTTATTATGAGAGTGAATTTCCTTGCGAATCTCGCCCAAAGGCCGCCATTTTGTATTATGACATACCATCTAAGATTTACTGATGTGTTTCTTTTTTTTTTTTTTTTTTTTTTTTCTTTTTTTATGCAAAAAATAAGCGGGAAAACAGATTAAACGCGCTATTGAAAAAAATAAAGAAATTCACCTTTAAGTAATATTCAATGTTTGTAAATACGATAGAGACCATTCTGTGCCTGTGTGTGCGTGTTTGGGTTCACCCGATCACCAAATTTTAGTCGAAGGATTTTACACAAATACAAATGGCATAAAAATATTTTAAATTTCAACTCCTGCAAATGTTTTCTACTTTTTTTTATTTATTTATTTGCACATTACCCATGCTTGACAGAGATTTGTTTTCATGGCTTCGATAGAAATAACAGCTATATGCCAGTGTAAGTACATCTCACTTCACTCCAGAACATGTTTTGCACTTCAGTGTTCTTCAGAAAAGCTACATGTAGAGCTGAGCCGAGATAACTCCCTAACTGGGGAGGAGATTGGAAATTCACTAGATGACCGCCTAGCTTTTTTTTTCTTTCTTTTTTTTTTCAGTTAATTCACTTCAAGTAAGGCAATAAAGGCACTAAGATGTAAGGAGTTACTGAGAGCGAAAGAATATGAGGAAAAAATCTATTAAGGAGAGAGAAACATTTAAAGAATATGAATTAAGAAGACATAATATAACGATTGGCATTGCATTTAAATGTTTGAAGATCAACTTTGACTTGGAAGAAAAAGGCTAAAAGTGAGTTTCACAAGAGAGAAATCTCGCCATTTTAACTCTAAAATGATTAGAGCCTAAGGCCACTCTGGCGGTACACTTGAATTCATAAAGTCTCAATACCATAGAGGGAAGTTCATCCGAACAATTACCATGAAAGTATTTATAGAAAAGGCAGAGGGGAAGCTACAGCAGAAAAAAAAAGGTGGACAGGCAGTTTATATAAACATCCACCCTAGAGAAAAGATGGATAGTCTTTCAGACATCGCAAACGAGAATATAAAGCCCACGTTCCGATGAAGTCTCCGGGATCACACACACACACACACGCACACACGCGCGCGCGCGCGCACACACACACACACACACTGAACCGATTAGAATTGATGAATTCAGTCTGTTATGTGCCATGCGTGATACACGCTTAGGTGATCATGTATCGAACGATACATGATTGACAAGGCAGATGTTTTTCCCGCAGTAGGTTGCCATTTCTTTCTGCGGTAGTCCAGTTGCCATCCAAGGCTATAGAACCTGGTCTGTCCTGCTATTGACTCATAAGTGGAGGGAGAAAAAGAGGATTCATACATTTCCCAAGGGGATTACCATGTAAGTAAATGTAATGGGTTCGACTGGAATTCATTGACGAATTACGAAAGCGAAATAAAATATTATGCAAAAGAGATGGAGTCTCGCGTTATCATATGTTCTGCACCTTCTATATCATTACACACATAGCCATACAAAGTATAGCAGCTGATTTTATTAAAAACTAGTTGAAATACCCGTTTACGTCGGGTAAGATGTCATGACTTAGATCGCAGCTGGATAGAATAACAACAGAACGATTCTTCAGTAATGTCTCTCTGAATTATTATTATTTACATTCGGACTATTGTCCTCGTCATTGTTGTTATTATCAGATCGTTTCGGCCGTTTTGCTCTGCGGTCTTATCAGGCGTTTGTCGATCCGAAAAACCTTCAGGGAATTTCGAGCTGAAACCCATTATTTAATGTACAAGACTAGGTTGTTTTCGTTTATCTTGTCTTGTTCTTATTTGTACTGCTCACTTATTGCTCACCCTGTTTCTATTGAGTTTTAATACCGACCCAGAGATTGAACTCTCAGTTACTGTGTCGCTAAAATATCCCGAACCAAAGTTTTAATCCACTAATCTATAAACAATCCTGAACATAAAAGTTGTTACCTTAAACCTAATATTCTTCCATTTCCTGCCTGCTGCTGATTCTACTGCTGCTTCTGCTGTCATGCAGGACTGCATTAAGAGTCGCTGCATTTTTCTTACTGCTGCTGAAGCCTTGCTGTAATTTATCTTTCTTTGTTAATAACTCCTATATAGTATTTATATTTATGCAATTGAAGTGCCTTTCATAGCCTAGCATATAAGCTAATTCCTTCAAACAGCTGAATCTCCAGTGTTATTCTCTCTCTGTCTAGTATTTTTACTTCCTTCCACAGGAGTTGGAGACGACATTTTCCCTCTATACATGATCAGCCATGCCTGATTTCATTGTTCCACCCCTTTGATGCTCCCCGATCCTCACTTTTAGGAGGCAGTTGCATTACATTTGCATAATTTGCCACAACGTGAGATTTTTTAGTACTTGTAATAATGAAATGGTAAATCTCTGTCAGAGTCAAAAAAGTTTTACATATAAATACTTCAATTTTAATATGTAATAAAATAATATTGAAAATATCGATAAAAGTTCGGAAAAATATTTTCACTGCTAATACCAAGGTATGTCAATTTTTCAATATCTTTGTTATTGTCATTATACATGCGCGAAAAAAAAATTGCTTTCAGCTATACTGGTCATGTACAGTAATAGTGTTATAGTAATTACTAGTGTAAGAGATGAGAATCGATTCCTGGCAAATGTTCTACAAAAAATACTATAAAAAGTAGAAAAATATCTTGGAGTAAAAATAAATGTATTGTTTGTTTCTGATTCGAATGGATGGATGTTCGATGTTTAGTTTAATTCGATCATGCGAAAAAATGTAGCCCTTAAAATTCTTTGAGGCTTTCTGAACGTTTATGGAAACCAAACAGTAAATATGATCACAGTTAGATGTTTGGCAGTGTTTTTCTGTACAGCTGTCAACTTACGAAATCAAGCGCATTTCGACAATGCCAAGCTAATTAATGGTGAATGAGGAAAAATAAGGTTTTGTAGTTGAAGATTTTATCTGCTGCCTTAAACAATCGGTAGGATATGCCGCATGTATTTATTGTCGCTTACCTGGAAATAAATAGCCTTTAGAATCTCTGTATATTAATAAGTATTACTTTATTTCAACGAATTTAAATACATAAACATATGAATGAATATTAATGTTTTATTGATTGATTGATTTCTACAGTTTATCAACCCTTTACAGATTATTTAAATCCAGAAAATATTTTTAGACTGTAAGAATTTTTTTATACAATAATGATTTAGTGACACAAGTTTTACTAGTTAAGCCATAGCTGGGTGAAGAAGAAGTGGATTCATACATAATGAACCCAACTGGAATTGGATCTCGGCTCTCTTATTAACAATTACGAGCCATTATCCACTACACCACCAGCACACCCAAGCTTACAGCACCTGGTCTTCCAAGAGACAACCCATCTTGGTACTGACCGGGCTTAACGTTGCTTACCTTCAGTGATCTTACAGGAACCGGTGTTTCAACGTCTTTGTCCGTAAGTCGTCGTTTTTAATGTTCGTATGCATTCTCTCTCTCTCTCTCTCTCTCACACACACACACACACATATATATATATATATATATATATATATATATATATATATATATATATATATATATATAAGGTTAAGGGCCAGAGTTGAATCAGACCAGGAATAAAAATCGCCTGAGAATACCGAAAGGTTGAAATCAATGTAGAGGATTCAACAATTGATCTCATAATTTTTAAAGTATATATATATATATATATATATATATATATATATATATATATATATATATATATATAACTTCAGGCGATTTATATTCCTGGTCTTATTCAGCCCCTGACCATTAACCTTGATCCGGGGTAGTAGCACCTGGTAGCGTCCCAGATATGGGCAAATAGTTAGCCCCCAAACTGAGGTCAAGACACTATAAAATTGTAAAAATAGTTTTCAATAGCAATAATACATTTTTGGAAAAAATATTACCAGAAATACATTATTAGCCGCAATACATTTTTGAAAACAAAATATTCTTAGCAATAAATATATTCTTATCATTAAATACCCCATTGAGGTTGATATGCCATAAAACAAACCAAACCATCTTTCAGAACTGTACACCAGGGATGTTAAGACAGGCCGTATACACACTTATTTCAGTTTTGATGGTATGACCAAATTCTACTTTTCAAATTGCGAAATGCAAAACTTGCCTTCTGAATGCGAGCAAAAAGTTTCAGCATCCAGAGCACATGCATGCATACATTCAACTTAGCATTGAATGATGAATGAAAAGAAAAGTATGAGTGGCTACATTTAATATAACATTATACGCTTGTAATTGTGCATATTTAAAAATGACTTCTTTTCAGTCACAAGTCTCGTCAAGTAGAGACGCCAGCGAATATTTCAGTATCTGAAGGATAACCAGTTGGCATTTTGAAGTTCTTCAAATGCAGATGCAAAGTAGTTGCTTCCATTTGTCGGAGATCGAATATCAAATATCAAAATCAAATCGTGTCGGTTTTTCATAACATTTGTCATCACCGAAGTTTTTCTTCCCCAAGTAACATGCAACAGCATTTTTTGTTTGTTTTTTTTTTCTTTTTCTGGGAAGTGTTTTAACAGAGGATGGAAAAATGCGAAACCGAAATCAGAATGGATGAGCGAAAAATGCCTTCTCAAAGGTAAGCAAAGTACTAAGAAACAGGAAAAAGAGTTCTGAACTATGTGATATCAATTCTCTCGCGTGATAAAAACTGTAATAAATATTGTTAAAAAAAAAAATTATCACTATCTCTGATCACGGCAGACTGCGCACTAACATGAGATAGTTCTCTTCAAGAACTCGGTTTTGAGTGGCCGTATTTGAAGCTGTTAGATCCAGACTGAGTCATTTATGCATGTTATTGCGCATTTATTTTGGTTGTCTGCATCCACTTCTATTGTAAATTTTCAAACTGTTTAAGCAGATTTTGAAGAGACTTGATTTAGCATGATTTATCCAGAAACAGTATAACTTAGCAAAGAAAAGACTATTTACATTATTTACATCACTCAGACTATTGTCCTCATCTTTATTGCCATATTTACAACCTCGTTTTTCTTATTTTTCACACTCGGTAACCCTTTGTGTCTTAGTGGATTTACTACCTTGCTTGAGATGAAATGATTAAATACTATATGGAATTATTTAAACGAAGGAAAAAAATAGTAAGATCGATGAATTATTATTTATTATTATATATAAGTCTACTATTCCTCCATGCATTCGCACATCTGGTCTGGTGATTATTCTGCTATGTATTTACAGATTATTGATCAAATCCAAAGAAGAATCTGCAATGTTATCAGACATGACCACTGTTTTAAGGTTTGGCTGGCCAAGCTGCATGCCAGCAGGCTTAAAGATGAGTTTTTTCCCCCAAATGTTTGAAAAAAAAATCTCTTAAACTCGGAAATGGTAGTGAAGTTTTGTGGGGGAAATTCTTTAGTCTTTGTCTATTCCTTCTGTGAGATGGCATAGAAAATGTTGCTGGGTAATGAGAATATTACTGAATAGCATGCAAGTTCCTTGTTTGAGAGTATCACTTGTCCCATCTTTGTGGAAAGATAATATCGGGTTTTACTGCAAAAAAACGAAACAAAACAAAAACAGTAAAACAATTTTTCGAAGCAGAAGGCGTCGAGATTACGGCATGCTACTCCCGAAGTCTAGATCACAATCAAATTGAGAATACTGGAAGATTATTGGCAAAAATGGTAGGACAAGGAAACCGGCGACAGTGACCAATTTATGGCAGATATTGCCGGATGAATGGACAGAATCATACCAGTCCCGTCGTTGTATATCTGCAGAAGTAATTAAAAGCCATGATCTGTATACATCTTATTAATATTCCTAATTTAATTTACATAGCCAATTACATTTTTATTCTCTTATTTTAGACGCTAGATGTTTGATATTAAACAGTTTGGGCGGTGTTTCAGAATAGTCTCTACTAATGGGAAGTGTTTTAACAGAGGATGGAAAGTACGACACTGAAATTCGAAAGCGCATTGGGATAGCGAAAGATGCCTTCTAAAACGTAAGCTGAGTATTAAGAAACAGAAAAAAATTCATTAAAAACAAAAACAAAAGTGTACTAAAATGTTATGTAATATCAGTCCATTTATAGGGCAGTGAATGCTGGACAATTTCCTCACAGATGAAGAAAAAACATAATGCAACAAAAATATGGTTCTACAGAAGGAGGCTGAGGAAACCATAAACCAAACATGTGAAGAACGACGAAGGTTTGGAGAAAATGGAAACAAAAAGGAAACTTATACTTAACATCAGGAAGAGACAGTTGAAAGTTCTAGAGCCCATAAGGAGGAAAGAAGGCATGGTAAATCTGATACTCACAGGACATAGTGAAGGCAAAAGGGACAGAGGAAAACAACACACAACCTACCTAGCGCGTTTGAGTAAATTGATGGCGGAGCAAGGTTTAGGAAAGATAGTAAAAAGACAAAATTTATTAAGAGCTACAAAGGACAGGAAATTGTGGAGAAACCTACATCCTGAAAGCACACGGCACGAAGAAACAGTAGCAAAAGAAGACAGGTCTTCTTCATATATATGTATTATATGTATATATTTGTGTGGGTATCACAGAGAGAAGTCGGACACGTGTTGCCCGTACCAATATATATATATATATATATATATATATATAAAGCTTGATAAATTCCATCAGTAGACGTAACGCATCGCCGAAGAGTTTTTTTCTTCTTTTTTATATATATATATATATATATATATATATATATATATATATATATGTGTGTGTGTGTGTGTGTTACTAATGTTCAGCTAGAGTGTTACGGTACAGAGTTGTATTAGTGTAAGAAAGGGCAAGATAACAAGAAAGCTAGACAGCTACTTCTAGATTTGAAGAAGTTAATACTTAATTAGCGAATAAAATTTCACACTTCAGACGGAGATGCAGAAGTATAGAATTGAAGTAGACTTTAGAAGAAATCGAAAACCCGATACTAAACAGGAAACAAGGAATGAAACTTTACTTATGTTCAAAAATTCGGGTAGGAGTATGAACCGGACGATAGCCAGACTTATTTACTCCTATTACACTTCTCGACATCGAATTCAACCTGAGCGGTAACTTTGCGCCGCTTAATCAACTCTTTTATCCATTAGGTTTGTTGCTCGTAGAAACCCAGGAAAACATTGAAATGAAAGTTTAGCGGCGAGAAGGTTTAATTACATGGATTAATAATAGAATGATAAAGAATAATGTAGATAGTGCGGCAATGCGTGCCGCCCACTTTGCGACTCATGGTCCTATAAGCTGACGTTCCTCTCATAGTGAAGGAAAAAGGGGCACTTCGACGCGGTGTAATGGTTAGCAAGCTTGACTCGCTAGATCAATTATGACTGACTTATGAGTTCGGTCCTCACTGAGTGCTCCCCACTTTTTGCCACATCTAAACTACGGTTTGAAAATCATTTTCGGCACCTCGTCGTAGTGTAATGGTTAGCAAGTTTATCTAGCAAGAAGAGTTACCCCTGAGTAGTGAGTTGGATCTTCACTGGGTGCCCCATACTTTCCCATCTAAGCTATGCTTGGAAAATCACCAATATAGTGAATGGAAGAATCTATGTTCAATAATTTAGTTTTTCTACACGACAAGGATATATTTCCAAACAACGAGTAATCAGCGACGACAGGCACATGAAAAGACCGGGTCGTCCAACGGCCGAAGCAATGTGACTAAAACAACCAAGATTCCTACAAAATTTCTTGCTTATATATATATATATATATATATATATATATATATATATATATGTGTGTGTGTGTGTGTGTGTGTGTGTGTGTGTGTGTGTGTGTGTATAAAACTTGTACCAATGATGTGCATATAAAAAAAAACATAATAACAAGTATAAGCAGTCAGTTACTGATACCCCTAACGATTGAACGGAGGAATCCGTCTACGAAACTCTAGAGTCGGGATGCTGAAGGTAACATCAATCAGCTAAGTGACAAAACTTATATTAATTTTTTCTCTCTTTCTCTCAAACATACGAACTCTCTTTCTCTCTCTCACACACACACTCTCTCTCACTATATATATCACTTCTTTTATTGATATCTCTCCTCAATAAAGATTTTCCTTAGATTTTTTTTCAAACGTATCAAACGCTTCCGTCTTAGAAACTTTATCTCCTTACCTGGAGTAAAATGATTAAAAAAAACTATTTACATTTTCTTTCAAATTATATTCGCAAGAGAACAGTTGATAGCGAATCGTGTTCATCTGAGATTCAACAAAATAATTTTTACATATATCTAAAGTTAAGCAACGTTGAATTGTATAAAACCTTAGAAGAATACTTTGGTGCAGTAGTTGGCTTACAAATTTAGTAACCTCTTTACAACAAGTTCCACCCTTAATAACAACGTTATTATTTTTTTACAGTAACGTTCACCCT